TCCGATCTGGGGGTTCGCGTCCGCACGCGCCCGGCGGCGGGGCCGGAGCGGGGCCGAGAGCGGCTGAGGGGGGAGAGCGGCGGCGGGGCCGCGAGGGACATGGGCCCGCCGCGGGTGTGAGCAGCGCCGCTCGCCATGAGCTGCACCATTGATAAGATCCTGACGGACGCGCGGACGCTGCTGGAGCGGCTGAAGGAGCACGACACGGCGGCCGAGTCGCTCATCGACCAGTCGGCCGTGCTGCACCGGCGCGTGGCCGCCATGCGGGAGGCGGGCGCGGGCTGCGCCGACCAGGTGAGCGCGGCCGGGGCGACCCCCGCGTCTCGGCAGGGCCCGGGCGGGGCGGCCCGACCGCCCCCCGCGTCGGTAGGCCCGAGGCGGCCGGACCGACCCCCGTGTCTCCTCGGCAGGGCCCGGGCCCCGCGGCGGAGCGACCCGACCCGTCCCGGCTGCGGCCGCACGTGGTGCTGGCGCAGGAGAACACGCAGATCCGCGACCTGCAGCAGGAGAACCGGGGTGAGCGGGGCGGGGGGCGGACCCTGGCGGGTGATGTGCACAGGGGCCCCGGGCGATGCTGGGCTGTGTGCGGGGCTGTCCCGCCGGGGATGCGGCCCGGTGGTCCCGGCGGGAAGGTCTTGTGGAGGAGAGCAGAGGCGCTGGGTGCTCCGGTGGGTCGCGGGTCAGGGAGTCTCCTCGGCCGAGGGGCTCCGGGCAGCCCCACCGCAGGGCCGGGAGCGGCGGGGCAGCGCCGGGCCCGCCCGCGGCTGGTACCCAGCGAGCGCCTGGGGGCTCCTGCTGCGGCTGCCGCTCCTGGCCCTGACGTGCTGTGCTCTGCAGAGCTGTGGGTCTCACTGGAGGAGCACCAGGACGCGCTGGAGCTCATCATGAGCAAGTACAGGAAGCAGATGTTACAGCTGCTGGAAGGGAGAAAACGTGAAGAGGCAGAACCAGTCTTGAAAGTCCATCAGGCTAATTCTGGGGTAAGGTGAGATGGGAACAAGAGAGTGCTCAAGATTCCTGCTCCCTGCTCGCTGTCACACAATCTTTGTTTCCATTCCTGCAATGTCTGTGCTCCAAAATACATTTTCTCTTGACTCTCTTTGCTGGTATTTCCCCCTCTGTTCCTTTCAGAGCACACAGGTTGTAACAGCTGTCCCAGAGGACACTGAGAGGCACAACCCCTTCAAGCCCAGGTGGAGGCTTTTTCTTTCAACCAGGTGGTGAATTCCCAGGCTTAAGCTTTATGTGCCTTATCCTGTATAGTAAAATCAAAGATGTCCAAGTTGTTATAATTCCTGATCATTAGCGGTAAGAAAGGGGAACAAACCCTCTAAATTCTGTGAGCTGTATAAGTTTAGTTCTTAAGAGATTTCATTCCCTAGTGTTTTTAAATCCAGATACTCTGTAGGGGCTAAAGCATCCTTTTGTGCACATTGGGCTCAGTGACTTCAGAACGCTGAGATGTGGCTGCTGCTAACTGCTGCCTGTTTCATATTTACATAGATAGTAACAATAGAATTACGTTCAATTTCCATTTTAAACTTAGGAATTGTGTTAGGCATTTTTAAAATGCATTTTTATCTGATTAGAGAACAGGAGGTTGGTTCAACACGGTGACATCTCATATCTTGTAGTTTTTTCCTAGGAACTGGAGTCAGCCTAACTCTTCTCATGTGTTTCTGTGCACTGATATGTGGCAATTCACTGGTTCTCTTTTCTGAGTTGCTTAACTCATCTGAAGGTGTAGCTATGTTTGGTTTCCAGTGCCTCCCTGAGTGCACAAATTGCTGTTTATCAAGGTTTTACATTAAAAATAACTTGACAATGCAAAGCTGAAAGGGCTCTGCAGGAACCCTTGAAGGGATATCCCTTGACTATCTCAATGTCTAGGCAAAGTCTTCTGTACTTCAGGTGAGCTCCTTGAGTTTTTTCCTCCCCACCCTTTGGAGAACAATAACAAACTTCTAATGTCTTTAAAAGAACTTCTAATGTCTTTAAAAGAACATAGTTCTTTTAAAGTTTAGTAACATAGTACTATGTAACATTTATGTTCTTAGTATAACCATCTTCCTGTTTAGAAAAATAGTAATCTTTCTTCCCAGAAGTCTCTCATGTTCTCCAGCTGTCTTCTGGATGCTCTAATTTGTTTACATACTTTCTGAATAATGGAGTTCAAAACTGACTGCTCTGCTCTGTGATAAATTTGTCTTCCAGAGGCAGTAGAAAAGCTATGGGCACTTAAAGAAACTCCACCCTGTCACCTGTCATGTTAAGTGATGTGTTGCTCTTCAAGCAGGAACTGTTGCTTCATACTGGAATTTGTCAGTGTTTGTTCCATGTGCATTTCTGAGCTTCAGCAAAATGCATCTTCCAGAGGATTATTGCTGTATCTAGACAAATTCTGTAAAATCTGCCTCAGGAGACTCTGGTCTTACTTGCTTTAATTTTGTTGCTGGATGTCCTTCTGAGGTAAAGTTGTTTACTCCACACCTGAAATCATGTTCACGTTTATTTTTGGGGTCTTAATAAATTTAGTCAAGCTTTTCTAATAAAGCTAAATAAAATTTGCTGCCTAGTAATCATGTTCACATGAACCTGAATCTGCTGTTTCAGACCGTGGCACACTTGAAATTATTTCCCTTTAAATCAGGGTGCCTTATCTTGCTGGCTGCTGTGTCTCTCTTCACTGTTTTCACTGATAAAGGACTGCTGATAAAGGACAATAAGGTACAAGTTCTTATCCTTAAGTATACAAGGCAGAAAGGCTTTCAAGTGCTTGGGAGGAAATGATTAAAATTCAAGACAGAAAGAGAATCGAAAATTAGGAGAATGGAAGTAAGTGATTTAGAATGGATGCATTATGACTGTTGCTTTTGCCTGAACTTACTGAATGTATTAATTTTATGTCTTTCAGGAAATTGAAAGTCAAATAGACAGAATATGTGAGATGGGAGAGGTGATGAGAAAAGCTGTTCAAGTGGATGATGAGCAATTCTTTAAAGTTCAGGAGAAACTGGCTCAGTTGGAGGTAAGAACAGAGCCAGTTGCTGAAGATAAATCGAGCTTTGGGCGTCTCCAGACTTTCTCTGTATCTTCTATGTTTGTGTCAAGGGCTTAAAACACTAAAAATTTGGGGATGGGGTCAGGAAGTGCAGAACATGATTAAGAACTTGAAAATAAACAATGTTTGTATTATTTTTATATATCTATATATAAATAAATAAAGCCAGAAGAAGATAAGCTTTAAATTATGTGGTTCCAGTGTGCCAGCACTGTACTAATGCTGGCATTACAAACTGTAATGTACAAACTTTACCTGCCTGTGAAGGAGTGAGACTGTTTAAAGATCAGCATCTTTTAACTACGAGTTAGCATCTTTCTGTGATAGTCCTTTAGTTGGGAATTAGCTCGTTTCTATTTCAGCAAAAATGTTGATTTTGCAGCTTGAAAACAAAGAGCTGCGTGAGCTGCTGTTGATCAGCAAGGAGTCCTTCGAGGTGGGGAGAGAAGATCTGCCAGACTGAAGCCTAGGCCACACAAACCTCATCTCCAAGCCTTCAGGGACTGTTATGAAACTACCTGACAAGGATTTGTTGTTTCAGGTGTTTCCTTGTATATTTGTTTTATCTTTAAAGTGTGTGGGCTGTTTTCTCTGCGTTTTTCTGAAGTGTTGATGGCAAAAGCTTGCACCCTGCTCTGTCTTAGTACCTGCAGCACTCGGATGCTTAGCACTGAAGTATTTGGTGTGTCCTCCCTTGTGATGGCTCATTTCCTCTCCCTCTGTTATTTTTTATGAGCTTTAGTCAGTAATTCCAGCTGTACAGATGGCTCTTAAATCCACCTTGTGTGTAGCTAGAGATCATAATGCAGGTTGTGATTATTGTGCTTGATAGAAGGAATAGCAGATGATTGAGAAACCACAGTGTGAGAGGCAGGGATGTGGTTTGCTCTGGCTGCAAAGGGCAGCTGGGCTCTGCAGAGTGAGTGACCCTCAGTGTCTGGCTGGCCTGGCTTTGTCACCTGGCCTGGCTTTGTCACCTGGCCACTGCTGAGGGCAGCTGAGAGAACAGCAATGCCAGCAGAGCACTTGAAGGAGTCACTCCTATTCAGAGCAAACTTCACCTTGTTTTAGGGGTGAAGATTGGAGTGAACAACCCTTCCTGACACACACTTTTTTGAAGGATTACTCTTTTTTGATTGATAGACCTGTCCCAGCCTTCCCAGTGCTCCCAGTTATCAGCCAGCCCTGCTCAGGGCGCAGCACCTGCAGATCAAAGCTCTTTGGCCTCCCACAAATTTGGGTTCGGGCAGAGGGAGCTCAGGTCTGCCTCAAAACCAAACCAGACCAAACCACCCTCCTGCACAGAATTTTAATGTCACATCACAGGTGAGCCTGGTGTTCCATAGTTACTGCAGGTCCTGTATTGAGTGGAATTAGAGGTGCAGTGTTGTAGGATTTTCTCAGTACTGTGGTATTTTTAATGACATTTTTATATAAAAGATTTCTGTCCTACCTATGCTCAAAGAATAATCTTCCAAGAAGGGTAAACATCTCATGTCCACTATTAGCTTAAATTTTTAATGCCATTTTTTTCCCAAGTGAGACTTTTGATAGATGCAGAAGGTGATTTGTTCCTGTGCTTACAGAGCGACAGTGAACGCTGGAGACATTGTGAACATTTGGCATACCCAGCCAGATTGGTAGATATAAATGTCGCCGCGCACCGCCGAGCGCGCGCCCGGCCTCCCGCTTATTCTACACCTCTAATGCCAGACTAGAGTCAAGCTCAACAGGGTCTTCTTTCCCCGCTGATTCCGCCAAGCCCGTTCCCTTGGCTGTGGTTTCGCTGGATAGTAGGTAGGGACAGTGGGAATCTTTTTCATCCATTCATGCGCGTCACTAATTAGATGACGAGGCATTTGGCTATTTAATAAACACATATAAATAATACATATGTCTCTTGTCCGGGTTAAGTAAGGTGGCCCGTCCACCTGAAAGTCCAAATTAGAATTTAAAGCCCAAATATGGGCTTAAAGACATGGTTATGAATGGATGAACCCCTTCCTCCCAAAACCAATTCCCACTATCCAGCGAACCAGCCAGGGGAAGGGGCCCAGTTTATTTCTATAGTATACTACACAGGTACAATCGATCTGGCTCTGCTCGCGAATACGTGTACAATATCTGCGGAGGCCATAAGAACTTGGGATGCCAGGGCCCTAGCGGTCCTCTCCAGCCTCGTTTTGGAGAGACCAAGGGCCAAAAACAGCTCCGAGTTCTTAGGGTACCATTTTCCACGGGCCCCCATGGGGAAGCCTATATATTGAATGTCCTCCGCATTAGTAAGCTGTTGTATTTGCGGATGTAGGCGCTGATATTTCTTCGCCTTTTCAGCAGCAGCCTCCCTCAGCGAGGAATTGCTGTGCTCGTATCTGTTACGTCAACCACCATCGCCTTGGACTCCTTAACAAAAATCAAGTCTGGCTTCAACAGTTCATTGGCTTCATCTCGCAGATGTGGTTCCTGAAAGACCGTCCAGTCCGCTCTCTTAGCTTCAACACTAAGAGTTTCACAGATGGCATTGTGTCTTTTAATCCTGGCTTCTTGCGTGATTGGACAGGTCCCCACGATATGTGCAACACACAATGTCGGCATGATTGAACAATATTCTCATGCCTACCCCTTGCCAGGAATTCTCTTGTAGGGTAGACATTGGCTCTTAGTTGTAGGGCTGTAATAAGTTTGTGGTGAGGTATGCCTGATCCAGGCATTACTGATGACATCGTTCTCAAAATTCTCAATGCCATGTCCCTGGGCGACCAGATGTGTCCATTTCTGAAACTGCTTTCTGCCAATTACGTGGTTTAGGATAGCAGATCTTCGGACTGGGTACCGCCCATTCTGACTGGCTGTCATCACCACCACCTTCTATCCTTGGTAAGGGCTCCCAAATCAGCAGGACGCACTTTTTCTTCCCCCAGCTCTTATCCACAGTTTTTCAAATAACAGTTCCAGGTGTTCCTCCTTTAAAAAAACCCAACAGAGCCACATCAGAAGACTGCGCTAGTCTATGGAGTCTTCTCGCTTGAATGCTTGGAGTAAGTGCCACCAACTTGATAATACCCAAACCTCCATCTTTAAAACTGGAATACAAATCGCATCGCATGTGCTCGGTGGAAGATGTAGCCACTCCCTAACTGCCTTACAAATCAGCAGGTCAAGGGGTTCCAGAAGACCCACGCTCACCTCGGTGTGGTCAGCCAAGTACACTAACCTCTGGGTGGTATAGGTCCTGAGTGTCACGACTTTCTGAAGAGGTTTGAGGGGTGAACTTCCAATCCAATGTAACCAATCCATGAGTTTCTCTTCTTTCTTCTGTACGGGAGTGCTCTTGTATACAATCCTTTTCTATTAGAAATTGTTCAGGAGGGAATAAAAAACCCAGTGGGAAATACTTTCTCAAGTGTTTTGTGAGTCCTGGGGGAATTCCATGTATTCTGCGTATTCCCAAGCCTTTTGCACCTGAGTGAAATACTACCATCGCCAAAATGTTGAATTCTCTGGTTTTTAAATTTAACATCATCTGGAATGCCTGTGATGAATTTTTATCTTCCCTCTCTGTGTGGAGGAACATCCCTCCAATTGGATCCTAGGTGTGCAGGCAGAAAAAGACACTAAATAGCAGTTGCTTTGATTGAATTTGTTGTTAATTAGTAGCAGGCAAAAATAGGCAAAGGAAGTTCAAATATGTTCACAGAGTATCCCAAGATGGAAGGGACCCGCAAGGATGGAGTCCAACCCCTGCCCTACACAGACACCCCAAAATTCTACCCTGTGCATCCCTGGAGTGATGTCCAAACTCTCCTGGGAGCTCTGGCAGCCACGGGCTGTGCCCATTCCCTGGGGAGCCTGGGAAGTGCCCAGCACCCTCTGGGGGAAGAACCTTTCCCTAAGATCCAACCTAAACACCCCACTACAGCTCCGTGTTCTATTTGCTCCTGTCCCATTCGGGAGCTGTAACTGGAATCTGTGACTGTAAATGGCCGGTTGTACACGCTTCCCGAGGGCTGCTGGGCATTTTCAGAACTTGCTCCACTTGTGTTGGAAACCGGACTGGAGCTTCAGGACTGGAAATGCTCTGCCTTGTCCTCAAAGCGTCTCCCCCTGATGTTCCAGTCCTTCAGCGAGTGCAAGGCTCATGTTCCTCCATCGAGCTCTGCCTGCCCAGCACGGAGGCATCCCCCACAAATGGGCTCCTGAGGGCCCGGGCCGAGCTCTCCCTCCCTCTCTCGAGGTTCTCTGTCTACTCTTCAGCCGGGGTCCTATCCCCTCTGAGCCGGGGTTTTCTCTCTTCCCGCAGCTGGGGCTTTCCATCTCCCTGCAGCCGGGTTGATCTCTCCCCTCAGCCGGGGAATTCTGTCTTTCCCCTCAGCCGGCTCTCAGTGCCTTCAGCCGGGGCTCTCTTTCCCCTCACGAGGTTCCTGTCCCCTCCCTGAGGCTCTCCCTCTCCCCTCAGCCGGGCTCTCTTTCCCCTCACGAGGTTCCTGTCCCCTCCCTGAGGTTCTCCCTCTCCCCTCCCGGGGTTTTGTGTCTCCCCTCAGCCGTTTCTCCCTCCCCAGGCCGCAAGGGGGCGCTGCCACCCTCACTGTCCCCCCCATCCCCTCTGGCGCGTGCCCGCGAGCGCCACCCGCCGGGCTCCTGCTGCGCACGCGCGGCCCCTCCCCTTCCCCCCCCCGTCCGCGGGCGGCTCTCGCGAGAGCGCCGTGATTTCTCTCCTACGTGCCGTGCCGTGCTGCTCATGGCGGCGCTGGAGCGGGGGCGCTGAGCTGTTGGGGTGAGTGCGGGCCGGGCGCCGCCGCCACCCCCGCCCGCCCCGGCAGGCCGCCCCTCGCTCCGCCGCCTCCATCTTGGTGCAGCGCAGCGAGCGGGGCCGCGGCAGGGACCGGGCCTGGGCGGCTCCGTCGGGCCGGGGCCGCTTCTCTGCTGTCCGCACCGATACCCGGCGCGGGGCTCGTCTCCGCACCGCAGAACCCTTAAAAAATCCGGGTATTTCTTTTAACGACTTTTTAAGGTTTTTTTCTCCATACATTCTTCACAGATGTCCTTGGTAGTTCTTTAATTCTTTTTCCCCCGTATACGTATTTTTTCTGACGTGGAAAGGACTTCACTGCTGTGGTGGTGGCTTGTCTCATAGCTGTCACGTACTGGCCGGGGTGCCCGAGAGCTCAGTGCTGCTTTCCAATATCCATCTGAAAAGAGATGGAGGAGCCTGATCTCCACGGATCTGTGTTGATAAGACGAAGCCTTATCTTCATCAAATTGTACCTCAGTCACGTCATAGAGGGCTGTTTCTGGAAGCACGTGCTCTGATCCACAGAGTGCATATCCTTGCTGTTGCCTCTTTTTGTGAAGAAAATGAGAAGCAGAACAATGCTCTCATCGGGCAGGTTCCATGTGGGGCTCTGTGGGTGATTCTGGCTGTGAGCAGCTTCATGTGACCCGCTGTCGTTTAGCAGGATCTGCACAGGAGAGGCCTCAGGAGCAGGGCCCAGCTCTTCCCTGTCTTTGCATTAAGCCTTTCAGCTGTAAATACACAAATGCAGAAGGCACTGAGACTTGGGGGCTGGGCAGCTGCTCAGGGTGTTTACCATTTGGAGGAGTATTTATAGTAGCTGAATTAAAAAGTAAGGAATTTGAGGCAGATGAGCACAGTGAGATTTCTTTTTGCTTGAATTTTGCTTGCATGATGAGCTTTTTTTTTTTTTTTTAAAAGAACTTAAGTGTAGTAAACCCATCGTTTTGCTTGAATGATGAGCTTTTTTTTTTTTTTTTAAAAGAACTTAAGTGTAGTAAACCCATCCTGTTATCAAATCAGACTGGGTTTTAATGGAAAGGTTTATGCCTTTACTCCACAACTGATAAAATTAGCTTTAGTCTTATTTTATCAAATGAAGTGTTTTGATTATTAAATGAAAGAGTGATGTATTTTATGGCCAAGAAGTGATAAATGCAGTATGATAAGAGTTAGATCTCTAGACGAAGTGTTTTGATTATTAAATGAAAAAGTGATGGATGTATTTTATGGCCAAGAAGTGATAAATGCAGTATGATAAGAGTTAGATCTCTAGGAGAGCTCTAATAATACCAGTCTAATTAAATGAGAGAGAAGTACGTGAGAAGATTCCAAGTGTGTCTGTGCAGTTCCTGGGATGCAGTGTGCTCGTTTGAGAGCTGAAATGCTGCCCCAAAATACAGCTGTCCTGGAAGATTGTGGTAACAGTTGCCCCAGTGTAATGCTGAGGTGAGGGAAAAGCAGTGATACTGTTGTCTTTGCAACAGCCTTGTGTCTTCTAATTTATAATATTTTATACTGAAATCTTTCAGTGCAAACCTTTTACACCAGATTTGAGCAGCCCTCACCCAGTTTATTTAATCTATTTCACATGTGTTTGATAGGAAAACTCATTTCAGCTGGAAATTCTCAGTGGTGGTTGAAGGAGATGCTTCAGCTGGGAAAATCCCTGAAATACAAACTTCTGTAAGACTGGAGATGAGTTTGCACATTTGGGGTCCTTGCAGTAGCTGCCTTCACATTTTCACTGGGGTGAGGGTGAGACTTGGAAGTGTCTTTGCATTCAGGTTTCAGTCACTTAAAATTCTTTCAAATCACCAGAGGGAGTTCAAAGCTCAGTTGTGAAATTCACTTTCCTGCTACACTGGAGAAAGAGGCTCTGTCCGTATTTTTTCTCTTTTGGGGTGGGACTTGTGGAATGATTTGGGGAAGAGTTGTGCTCTGATGTTTCATACCTTCACACGACTGCAGAACTGCCAGTGTATCTGTGAGGTCAGAGCTCTGTTGCTTCTCACCCGCTTTTGTCCACAAAAATATCCTCCCTTTTTTTTTCCCTATCTACTGAGTAAGCAACAACCTCAAAACTTGATTTCTTCTCAAGGAAGGCTCTCTGTGTCTGTAAGGTTATGTTTTGTGTGGTAGGTGGCAGTTTGCTGAACCTGCTTTTCTCATGAAAAGACAAAATGGCACTCTTTTAGGAGGGAATTAATTGCTAACTAGTTACTGGTGCAGAAAGGCTTCTCCTGGTGTTAGCTACACAAATACATCACATGGAATCAACATTTTACAAAAACTGTTTCTTAAGTCCAGCTCTGTGTTATTTTCCATGCAGTGTCTGTACACATAATTGAGAAGTTTGTTAATTTTTATACAATTCTAAGTATGTTTCAGGTATTACTAGTCCTTAACCTTTGGAGCAGAAGTAATCAGGAAATTTTAATTCCCATGTATATGTACATCCTATTGCTCCTCTGAGGATCTGTGTGAGCACTTATTAAATTATAGCATAATTTATATGAGCACCCATATAAAGTTAGTGATGGGAGGACTGAGGTTTGCTGATGGATCAAAACTAATGATCAGAACGAAGTTGAGGTTTAATGGTGCACACTGGGACCTTCCTTGACATGCCTAAGTGTGTCTGAAAAGTTCAAAATTGGAAATACCATCTCACTGGCTTGGAGTCAGCCAGTCTTTTGCAAAACAAAACTGGAAGCGGGAATGCCAAAGATGTGTGTAAAACAGCTTTTATTAACATGGATTAAACCTACTGTATTGAGGCAGAGGAAATGCTCCTGTCATTATTAAGAGCTAGAACTGATGTGCAAGGGGTTTTGGAAGTAGATGGTCTTTAAGGCCCCATGCAAAGCAATCCATTCTGTGATTTGATGAGAATTTCCTTCAAAGTGATACTTAGTGTGTGTGTCTTTCTCCTTTCTCCAGTATGAAGTGGAACAGAACAGAATTTACCACCTGAAACTGCTGCTTCAAGTTCAGATCAGGAAAAGAATATAAGTATACCACATTGTAACAACTCAAGACCAAAGAAGAGGCAACTTACACTGAAGAAGATACAAGGCTTGATCTGAAACAAGAAGTTTGTGCCTACTCAACAGCTTCAAAAGAGCACGTCCCAACGCTGCTATAGTAGTCTTTGTTTTCTCCAGTGCTGTAGTGAAACTGCCCAGGGCAGCAGCACTTGTATTCTCTAGAGCTTGATAGATCACCTTCTTTTGCTATCTTTTTCTTTCTCTTTTTGTCTCTCTTCCTTTTGTTCCCTTTTTTAAAACAATAGCAGTCTTCATCCTTAGAAACTTGTGCTGAAACAGAAGAATCGGCAAATACTACTGAAAGTGCAATATTTGAATATCACTGCGAGGTTGGTGCACCTGGTGGAGAAAGAGTGATATGTGTGGTTTTGAGCTGGGTTCTTACTGAGTTTTTAACAGAAGGGGGTGGGGTTGGTTAGGGTTTTTTTAATAGTTCTTGATAATAAATTAATTTAATAGTGAAGCTCTGGCACAGGGTGCCCAGAGCAGCTGTGGCTGCCCCATCCTGGGAAGTGTCCAAAGCCAGGCTGGGCAGGGCTTGGGGCAATGTGG